CAACTTGGTTCGGTTTCCAAAAGAAGATATGCTTAATAGGAGGTTCATGCACGTGACTAGCAATTGTAATACTAGACTTCCTACTGATACTTCATTCAGGACTTGGCAATATCAGATTTGTTGACAGCGGAAAAGTGGTAACAAAGGGAGACAAGATCTGGTCGTTTCCACAAAAAAAAAAAAAAAAAAAAAAAAATCCCCCATCAAAGAGAAAGAAAAAAAAAAGGAAAAAAAAGGCCCAGTAAGGATTCTCATTATCCAAGGAAAAGAAATGGACAGCGAAAAGATTATTAAATGGGAGGTCTTATGATTGGGAAGTTTCTACGAGTGAATGGTGGGCCATGCTGGATTTTTTATTAAATGTGCAGGTGGTGTAATGGTCATAAAAGGTTTCCTAGCGGGCAGTTCAAGACTAATTGTGAGCAACAAATTCATTGTGATGGTATAGGGAATGTTCCTATGCATTGCACCTCGCCATAGACCTCATATGGCACATGGACCGTGGGGACTCTTGATCATAAATATGATCTTGTATTGCATGTATTCATCCCAGCTCAAATTGGCAAATGAATTGGCTTTCTTTTATATACAAAAAAAAAAATCAATTACTTCAAGTCTCAATTACAAACCTTGACAAGCAAGCTTCAATTGAGCCTTGAAGTGGGGGCATTTGTAGACAAAGAAAATTTATTTAATTTATTTTAGTCAAGATTTATTTAAACTAAATCGATCTTGATTAAATTAAATTAATTATAGAAGTCCATCATGTTTTGGACTGGCAAATCGGGCCAATATTATATGGGCCATTAAATCAAATTAAATCCATAATGTCCGCTTAAGTTGGAATGAATTAATTGATTCATTAATTCACAATGGACTATTTGGATTGGCCCAATATTTAAGCCCAAGTTAAATGGATTTCTTGGGTAACAAGTGATCCAAAATGCAGGAAGATTCTGAGGGTTTTCTTGAAGACCTAGCCTACATATTTTGGCTATAAATAAAGGTCTTCGCTCAAGGCAACGAGATAAGAAAAATCCCTAACATTCGGAGAAACTCTGTCAAATTCCCTCAAGAGCTTTCTTCCTCAAATCCAAGTCCAAGTCAAGTCAAACAAATTCTCCTGCTGTCGGTGTTGGGGACTCGAAGTTCCAAGTGTTTGACGCCATCATCAAATCAATCGTTTTCTACGCCGAAATTGTAGGAAACACCCTTTCGATTGGAGAACAAGTCTTTTCGGCCCTTCAATTGAAGCTATTCGAAGAAAAGAATCAGGGGATTAATTTCTTTGATTCAAGAATTTTCAGAGATTGTAACCCGCTTATTATTTGATTTAATCAATTTGATATTTGTGCAAGTTTTCTTGTCTTTTATTTCAGGCAACAAAATTTGTGCTTACAACATCTTGAGAGAAAGGAGAAAAACCTATTGTCTCTTCGTTTAAAAAAAAAAAAAAGAAAAGAAAAAAAGGGCTACTAAGCTAGAGGGCTTCAAACGGATTTAATGGAGGAAGAAGCATAGGAATTCAAGAAGGCACAGAAACAATTCAGTCTTGCAATATTAATCGATTAGTTGCTAAGAAACATAGATGGATGAAGATTTGTTTGCAGGGATTGAAATTAAAGGGGATGGATGAAGCTATGCAATATGACTTGTGGACTGCATTGGAATGCTATAGCTTGAATTATTTGTTAAGTATTGATTTAGATGTAATCCTACTTGTACCTCTTCTAACCTGGTTACTAGGTTAATGATTTTCTTAAGGTGTACTTATCAAGTTTTTTGGTGGTAATTGGATTTACTAGTCAACCCTCAATTTCAAATGTTTTAGCTTTAAAATTCAGGACATGATAGAATGGTATTAGAGTTTAGGTTGAGATTTTGCAATGTATCCTGGACTCAATGTTTGGGATGCCAAACTTGTGGGGTTTGTGTTTAGTCATCAATCAATCTTCAAAAATGTTACAAATAGGCATTGAATTTCAGATTCTTGGCTTTAAATTTTGGAATTTTCTAATCTTTAATACTTATACTGCTACATTCTATTTAATCTATCATCTATAAATACACATTAATAATTACTATATTCTCTTGTATTTATACACTTTTCTTATTTAATTCCCTTGCATTTATATATTTTTTCTAATTAATTTTATATTTTTAAAAAATCTAACACCTGAAACACATCTTAACGGGGTCGTTAAATTGTTTATATAATTGGGGTATCTTAGTATTTAATTGAAGTTTGTACTTCTTGGTTTAAAGATACTTACAACTGAGGTGAAAACGTTCTGGTTTGGGTGTAAATGTACTAGAGTTTGAATTTCAAATTTGTGGTACATGATTTCTCAAATAATTTAGGTCAAATCCATAGGGATGTTAAATGTAATAGATGTTGAATTCAAAGCCAAGCTCAATTATTGACTTTGAAATAGCCAAAATTGTTGAATTATTTGACACAATTACAATCCCACATCGGTGGGTTTATGAATTGGAGAAGGTTTTGAGAGCTATAAATAAGCTCTCTACCTTCTCAATTAAGACACACCAAGCAAGAGCCTCATAACTTGCTTCCTTCTCTCTCTTTGTAATATTTCCTCTAGTAAAATATTAAGTTGTCAGTAGTGTCCGAAACGTAGGCAAATTAGTCAAACCTCGTTAAATTCTGGTATTCTATTTGATTGTCTATTTAGTAGCTATATTTGTAGTGAGTTATTGTGCAATTAATTGCATATATAGATGATTCTATCTAGGAAATTGGTACTTAAGCAGACCAGTGAGCCTGACCAAATATTTCCTGGGAATTACCATTTTGTAATTTTAGGTACAATAATTTATTCGTTATACCTTAATTTGGTAGAGCTTCCGCAACAATTGGTATCAGAGCTCAAGATTTCTTAGTATGCTTTGTGGTTGCAGCATAGTCTGATCTTTCACATCAGAAAAGATTTCTTGGGCTATTGTTTTTCTACATTTAGGAGCTACTAAATATAATTTGTAGAGATGGCCGAAAGTAGATCTTCATCTACAATGCAAGCATCGACAAGTTCGTCATCGTCTATTATGGCAAGAAATGCTACGATGAATGCAAAATTAAATGTGGAGACATTTGATGGTACCGGTCATTTTGGTATGTGGCAAAGTGAGATTCTAGGCGCGCTCTTTAATCAAGGTTTAGACATTGCCATCGAAGAAGAGAAACTAGAAGAGATTGAAAAGAAGGAATGGAGGATGCTAAATCGTTTAACGTGTGGTATAATTTGATCATGTCTTTCAAGGGAACAGAAATATGTGTTTTCAAAAGAAACCTCTGCAAATAAATTGTGGACTGGATTGGAGGAGAAGTTCTTGAAGAAAAATTGTCAGGACAGGCTCAATATGAAGAAACGTTTATTTCGCTTCACTTATGTTCCTGACACAACTCTAAGTGATCACATCACTAATTTCAATCAGTTAATCACTAATCTGATGAATTTAGATGTGACATTTGAAGATGAAGATTTGGCTCTCATGTTGTTGGGATCTCTCCTGAGGAGTTTGAGCATCTCGAAACAGTTCTACTCCATGGGAAAGCTGAGGTGTCCCTCAGTGAAGTTAGCTCTGCCCTGTACAGCTACGAGCTCAGAAGAAAAGACAAGCAAAGTAGCAGAGATGGAGTAGCAGAAGCTCTGGTAACTAGAGAACACTCACAAAACCAGAGAAAGGGGATGAGAGGTAGATCCAAGTCGAGAGCTAGACTAAGCAAAGATGAATGTACTTTTTGCAGAGAGAAAGGGCACTGGAAGAAGGACTGCCCAAAATTGAAGAGTAGACCTGACAAGGAAAATGTTGTTGAGGATTCAAATGTAGCTGAGTGCATTGATCGAGACTCAGACTTTTCATTAGCTGTCATGCCTACTGGTCATTCTATTACATGGCTATTGGACTCAGGTTGTAGTCATCATATGACGTCCAATAGGGAATGATTCTTTGATTTCAAGGAACAAGAAGGTAGAGTCGTCTACACGGCAGATGAGACCACATTAGCAGCAAATAGGGTTGGTTCAATTCGGCTGAGGAATCAGGATGGATCAATTAGGATTCTAACTAATGTTTAATATGTGTCAGAATTGAAAAAGAACCTCATTTCTGTGAGAGAACTAGAATCAATGGGCTACAAGGTGTCGGCATATAATGGAGTGATAAAAATCATTTCAAGTGCATTGGTGCTAGTGAAAGGAACCCGAAAAAATAATAACTTGTATTACTATCAAGGTAATGCAGTTGTTGGAGTAGCGCAGTGGCTTTCAGTGATGATCGAGAATTGATAGTAACCAGATTATGGCATATGCGCTTAGGGCATGTCGGAGAAAAATTCTTGAATCTTCTGATGAATCAAGGACTATTGAAAGGAGCCAGTATTTGCAATTAGATTTTTGCGAGCATTGTGTCAAAGAGAAGCAGATAAGAGTAAAATTTAGCACTGTAAGGGTATTTTGGATTATGTACACGCGATGTGTGGAGACCTTCCAAAACAACTTCTCTGAGAGGCAAAATTTATAGTGAGTTATTGTGCAATTAATTGCATATATATAGATGATTCTGTCTAGGAAATTGGTACTTAAAGGTCAGTGTACTTCCAAATATTTCCTGGAATTACCATTTTGCAATTTTAGGTACAATAATTTATTCGTTATACCTTAATTTGGTAGAGCTTCCGCAACAATAGACACATTGGTCTTCTTGTGTTGGAGGTAAAGTAAAAATTGATTGAAAGCTCATATAAAGAACACTTTCAACTATTTAAGACATATCGAAAATCTAATTTTAAGATTCTTTTTTGTTCGACCCTGGAATAAATTTCTGGAATTGTTAATACATTAATTAAGAATGAACAGCCAAAGGAACAAAGGAGACCAAATTATACAAAGTGTTTCAGGACTCTGTTCATTTCTGAGATGTGCATACGTATGTAAATTCTGTACAAAGGTTAATGCAAACAAAATTGTGGCCTAACTAAACTAGTGGTTGAGAATGTTGAGAAGTGAAACTCTGGTTTTCAGCAAAAGCCTGAAAACAATTTCTAGTATCTCTGCTAATTCTGCAATGCTAGAGTCTACTGCCTCAAGTTTTTGAAGTACATCCTTTTTTGACTTATTGTTGTTCAAGAGATGCAACTTGATTTCTATTTGCTCGATTGCTGCGATGTCAGAATCTCCTTTGCGTGATGCTCTCTTCTGCTGTAGTAAATTTGAGACCAAGGACCAACCTTTTGGTTGTGACCCTGCCTTTGGTCCAGAAAGGAAACATAGAACAGACTCCAACACTGGAAGACTAATTGCTTGAACTTCTTTTACCAGGTTGACCAAAGGAGCATTTTCAGAATCTCTGTTTTCCACTTCCACGTTGCAGTCCTTCCCTGATTTCTTGAATTCTTTGTAGCATTTTCTTATCATTTTATTCAAGTTCTTTTTGCAGATCATATATGAACTGACTTCATTGGCCAAATCTTCACTTCGTTTCGTCCTTAGAGATGACTCGAGTTCCTGCAAAATTTCCTTCATCTGTGAATAGATGTCTCTGACTGCCCCACAGATCTCCAACAGCCTGAGAGATCCATCCAAGACCTCTTCTTCCCATTTTCCAAGTCTTTCACTGGAGAGAGCTTGTTGACTCAAAGGAAGCCTAAGCACATCGTCTAGACACTCGTACAAGTTCTTGAGGCCGTCCAATTTTTGGCATGCCAATGAATGTGAAGTTGAGGATGCGGCTCCTGATGACTTCAATCTTTCAAGATGTTCCTCAGCAGTCACGATAAGAGGGTGAGATATAGAAGGCAAACTAATGGAACGAGAATGAATAGATAATTTTGGATTCGGCACAGAGGTTGCCATCTTCTTCCTTTAGCAGAATGTAACAAATGAATGTTAATTGTTTAGCCTTAGAAGCCTGTGGAGATGTTGAAAACAAAATATCTCTCCACTGGCATATATAGGTGGTAAAGAAAAGTGAAGGAATCTCATCTTCTCTTTGTCTAGTTGTAATAATTGATTAAATTTTCTGCTTGTCATTATTTCTGTCTCGTTGATGTTGGATCTCAGAAGATGCATCCAGTATTGAGATCCCAATTCTCAACATATTATTTATGTGACAACCATTTGGATCACCAGCTCTTATTCAAAGCCGATCGTGCTGGATGTTTAAGATTATAAATAATGCATCACAGGCAGCCTAATCAACGAAGACAACAGGAAATGTTTGTGCTATCTTACTCACTGGGGGACAATAGGAATCGTTGCCTGCTCACAAATACTTTCAATTAGCCATGCATGTGTGTTCTAGGCACTGAACAAATCATGTTGCTTAGCCATTGATTCATGTGATTATTATTGCTATAATGATAAGTCCAGCATTGTGCAATCATGGCCACTGTTTGTTGCAAGAAAATAGGAATTACACAGCCTGTTCCATCCTCAGTAGACAACCATGTGCTGACTGTATTCATTCTTGAATTACATATATATATTTTCCTGGTAGCACGAGAGGATGGTTGACCTTAAGAACTCATTGATGCATCTCAAGGTTCAAAACCTATGGTCTAAATTAAACCACTCTGTCTATCAAGATTCTCTTTGCTTTTTGGATGGTCTAGGCACTAGCGTCATATGATCTGTGGCATTGGTGCTTGTCAGCTTCAAGAAATGTGATAAAAAGCTGGACCAATTATTGTCTCAATGTAAGGAGGCAGAGCTGTGTGTTGACCATTTTTATTTCTGGTAGGAGACATGGTGAGTTGGACAATATTCTATCTATATTGGCTACTACTTATAATCTTTGTATTTGTATATATAGCTGGCTTAAAGAGATAAGTTGAATAACTGCATTATCATAGTTGTGCATACATTCTTCAGGGTTCGTTCCTCATCAAAATTGGTTGATTGTCTAGCGACTATCAAGGTAACTGGCCATGCACAATCAAACAGTCTGATATCTAGTTCTCATACAGTGACTGATAGCATCAGCCAGCAATCATCTCAGGTGTGCCACGGGAACCTTCCCCTCGGCCCTCAGAAGCAAAGGATCTGTTGAGTTCATCCAACTATGTATTTTGTTGTGAAAGCAATGTGATATGAATATGACAAGGGACTAAGAAAGTAAGGTTGAAGTTGAACTCGTGTGCTGGCAGCAGTATAACAGAATAACAAGGAATAATAATTCATGAAAGGAAGAAGAACGACTTGTCAACTAACCTAGCTCAAATAGACTGCATGATTAGGACTAAACACCAACCGAGCAACTCATGAGCTGTTTCATCACCAGCTCTAATGTATAGCATTTTTAGCAGCTTGAGCTCACTTGACAACCGTCGTCTTGTGTTGCTCCAAAAATGTGAGGAGTTGAGCTCAAGCTTGATGTTAGGTACTCAATCAAGCTCGAGCTCTTCAAGTTTGGAAAATTTAGATAGAGCTGAGCTCAATTAGGGAAATATCGGATTCAAGATGATTGCAGCCCTGAGCATGACAATTGGGTAATATATAATAGGAGGCAAATGTGAATATTGGAGTCAAAGTTGACAAAAGCCAACCATGTGAGTATTAGAAAAACATATCCAATTCCAAGCTTGAAAAATTGTGTGACTTCTTGCTCTTTTAGTGTATTACGTCTCCAACACAGAATGCTGAATCTAACTAATTGGAAAATTTAAGCTTCTGTTATTTGAAGAAAATGTGCAGAACTGCTAACCCCAAGTTATAGAAATGATGCAGGTCCACTAGATTACATGAAGGGTCCTCATATCAAGGAACTTAAATCATGTGTGAATCAAACCCTATCCGTGACTTCAGATCTTACATGAGACGTACTGAGGGATGGTTTGGTGCTGGAAACTGAAAATTCACTGACAAGTAAAATCATGCAGACCACAGAGTTATGTTACCTTGCATGCATTTGGCTAGCATACCACATCTACAAATTTATGCTTCCTCTCTGGATGTGAGAACAGCTAAAACAACCACAGGAATAACAAATTTGGTTCGGACCTGTTCTCAAAAAGTTGAAGGATTTTGAATTTTTTGTTGACACGGAACAAATCTTCTTGTTTTATCCCTTGTTTGGTTTGTTTTTATATCCTTTCATTGCCAGATACCTTACACTCAATGAGGATGAAGTTAAGGTGTGTTTCGATGAGGGATTTGAGTGGATTTGATGTCAATTCCTCTCCCCAAATCCCTTGGGCTTTTTGGGAAAGAATTTGAGTTTTGGGATTTCAAATCCGCCCACAAGTTTGGCGTATTTCAGCTGGCTAATTTAAATGTCAATTCGATCCATGACTGGCGTAATTAGAAATCCATTCTCTGTTTATAAACTCTCTGGCCCTCAAGCACTCTCCGTCAATGTCGAACTTCATCGAGCTCCAGTCTCTCTTGCCTTCGTTCTCCAAGTCCTCTGCCCTTGACTCTCTCTCATCTCTGCGCTATCACCCACTTGACTCCTACTTGTCCACATTAATTCTCCGGTGAGAAATTAGGGCTGGTTTGATGGATATCGACTGCAAATTATTCATTAAATTTTTTATGATCTTGGTTTAACTTTTATTATACTAGTTGGAAACAGAATCATGTGCCTTTTCCTATTTCTTTCGTTAATTAAACTGTTATTGATTTTCTCTGTCAATTTAGCGAACACTTTTTCTTTCTCCCAAATATTTTGTTGGATGTATGGACTTTTTTTATATGCAACCAATAGCTTTGGCTCTTCTATAGTTTATTTTTAAATTGACAACTTCTTCTGTTTGTTGAATTTTCATTCGTTTAGCAAAAGTTAAAGGAACCCACTACAAGAATAGTTTAATGGTTGAAAGAATGGACTGAGGATGCTACCACTATAGCTCAGCCAGCCTAAAACAACACTCAAAAGATCGGTAAGCTTTATCATCTCCTTTCTTTGGATTACTGAGCCAAATTTGGGACCTCACTTAGAAACTTTACATCACTTGGGGGACACATATTTGACATTGCATCTTTGCTTTGAATGAGTATCTTGGTGAACATCTGTACATAGTTTAATTTACATTTTAAGATGCAACATGACCTCTTTCACGTTATGCTTACCCTTGCTTTTGCTTCTTATGACTGAAATTATATTATCAACAAGAACCACATTTCTGAAGAAAAATATTTTATGAACCACTCAGACTGAACTAACTTATCTCGGGTTCTATGATGCCAAAATACTGCATTTCCCTTTCCACTGATAGAAATATCTACCTCAGACGGTGGAAAATGTACCAAACATTTACATTTTCAATTTCTGTTGTAGCAAAAAATTCCCATGTGTGTCAGTTCCTCTGCCCGGGGGTGATTATGAAAAGAATTTAAGTAAATCAGAACAATAAGGAAAGTCATATAAGACAGCTTTGCAAAACTCATAGAAGTAAAAAACAACTGAACAGATGCATGTAAATTTTCAATCTCAAGTGCATTTATTTTCAAATTCCAAAAGCAGGAAAGACTGAACTCAAATTCCAAATCTTACTAGGCAACATTGAACTTTTACTTGGGCATGTACTTACAAGTAGAACTATATGACATGATTAAGTGAACTTACAAAATTTTGCTATTGGGGAAAAAAAAAACAAAAGATTTATCTACTGGATTTAGAGTTTTGGTACATAGAGAGTGGTAAATATTGGTTTCTGAAAGAAATGGGTACACAGGTTGTCTATCGCCTTCGACAGTTGTTAAGCTTATGTTGTTAATAGAATAAACCCTTTCTCGAGAAGACTTTCCTGAGGAACCTAATCTTCCTGTATAGGCTGGGAATTTGGGACGAGGGAGATTTGAAATTTCACTGCTAAGCATTGAAAGAACAGCAGAGACATCTGGCCTATCTTTTGCAAATTCCTGCACACATAATAATCCTACATGAATGAATGTCAACATCTCTGTTTTGAAAGCTGGATCAATTATTGCTGCATCTATCAGTTTTGCTGCTTCACTTTCATTCCATAATTTCCAAGCCTGTGATATCGCAATCAAGAATGGAATTTAATAACAAAAAAGAGGATAAGGAACTTGGCTTGAGTCATGATACTGTATCAGTTGTAGAAATCAATGTAACTTACATGTCCAAGCAGGCTCAGCTCATTCTCATAATTATAGAAGCTAGTATTTCTTCTTCACTAACAATCTCTAACAATAGTACTCCAAAACTATAGACATCAGACTTTTCGGAAAATCTTCCTTGCATTGCATACTCTGGAGCCATATAGCCACTGTCATCACATCATTTATCCAAAAAGAGTTCAACTTATGAGGAAAAGAAAACAATTTGAATTAGTTATGATGTATAAATGACAAAAAAGAAACCAAATATAGGCTTACTATGTTCACCCTGTTAGTATTAGCTTGATCTTGATGGCCTCCGAAAATTCTAGCTAAACCAAAATCTGATATTTTTGGCTTGAGATCTTCGTCTAAAAGGATGTTGCTTGCTTTCAGATCTCTATGAATAATTTTTAGTCTTGAATCTCTATGAAGGTAAAGGAGGGCTCTGCCAATCCCCTCAACAATGATCACACGTCTTCTCCAATCAAGTAGTTTTTTTTTATTAGCATCTGTAACATTAATAATGTGAATTAATATGCCCCAGTTTTTGTGTTACTTTTATGCAGGGACTTACAATGTGCTCTATTTTTCTGTTTTACTAGTTCTCTGGAGTCTGGACATCACAAACACCCTTATATTTTCAGATTAGATGGAATGAAAGAAAGTTAGATAGAAACATAAAGAGAACTTGAATTTCTTACCAAATAGATAGGCGTCAAGACTTTTGTTTGGCATATATTCATAGACTAGCATTTTTTTCTTCTTTCAACGCAGCAGCCCAGAAGTCT